AATGAAGTTCAATAAATTAAATTACAGACCAAACTGAAAATTTTTGATAGTGATACAAAACACGAAACGTGCGACAGCTGTTTAAGCCAGTGTTGCAAAAAAGATAATAGCTAAAAAATCTGTATTTTTGCTCATTGAGGATCGATCTCATTAGGTTTTTACGCGATTGGCTTTTTTGAATATTGTGATTTTTTAAACGCGTTCACTGTAGTTCACTTGACTTAATTAATACCAAAAACCAGACTGAATTTTCCTTATTTATATTTCTTTCATTTATAGTTTCTTCTTCTTTCTTGGAAAGTTTACTCTCAACATTTTGCTATCGACTTAAATGAGAAACTTTCCGATTTTTGCAGCGTCTTTGAAATGGACCTAATTTATTAAATATATTCCGACAACCAGGCTGCCATTAAGTCTCTCCAATTCAATCATACCACGTCAAAGACGGCAATAAAATGCTGAGAGATTTTGAACAAATTCTCGACTGCACGTGAAACGTCCATGGTTGATATCCTAGGTACATTCCGGAGAACTGCGAGACGGACGAGCTGGCCAAAAAGGTACAGTCATAACCACAGTCAACTCTGCACTTGTCGCGGCCATACTTCTTTCCTCTCGAACTATCAGTTAAGACTAGCCTTCACACGAAGGGGCAATAGCGTATGGTGAAATGAAACCACATGCAATGTGACCAAAGAAATCCAAAGGCCAGATTCCTTCTAAAAAGGACATCCGAAAACATAACAACCGCAGTAACAATCGGTCACTGTCTTATGGGGTCTCATTTTTGAGGGTGGCTGCCTCAAACGACTTTTGTCGCAAGCTGCATATACATACATATCTGTGGTTAAATTTTCCATAAAACAAAGCTCGGAGTTTTTGATTTTTCATACAAAAATTTAAGTAGTTATATATATGCTCATATAAAAAACATTGCTATTTTAAAGGAAAAGTATTTTACCATATACTTAGGCGTTTGAAAAAGACATGCTTTTCATGCTTTTAAAAGAGAAATGTATTATAAAATTAGATCTTAATAACCGTTAAAGTGATTTTATTCAAAGCTGATCCATTTTTCTGTGGTCTTAATGTTATAGGAATGAATCCAAAAAACAACGGGAACTATTCATAACTGTTTTTGCGGCCAGTACTATCCTGCTTATATATATTTCGGTCAATAAAAGTCTGAAAGTATACAGTATTACAAAGCAACTCACTAACCTCGCTATTAAGAAAATTGTACATGAAAAGGTAATATTGAAGATAATACATATGTTGATCTCAAGACATTACTTGTATAAAGGTAACGCATTCTGTGTTATAAACCGTTAAAATGGAGAGACCTAGACTTAAGTCTGACCTACCTTATTATGAGAACCCTTATTTCATGTCAGAAACTCATTTGGAGAGCGTGACATTTCCTGCCAAATGACGACTGCAATAAGAAAAAAGTTAGTTACTTATTTTGATTTAGAATAATTTTCTATAGTTTTTAATTATGGTCGGGCCAGAACTAGATTTGAAATCTTTGCCCAAGATATTCACCATTCGCCAATATAAATGGAAAATACCCGTGAAAAGAGGATTGACACATACAGCCTTCGACAGCACAAAAAAAGAGCTGCCTCTACGCCGCTATGTCTTATACGACTGCAAAACTTATACGGCTGTATAAACTGACCAGCAGCACTAAAAGCTTCGTCAGAATAGGGAAAGACCTCTCAGAGCCTTTCGATACCAAACGAGGTTTCAGACAAGGTGACGGTATAATCTTTTATAAGAGTGTACACCTGCTAAAAATAATTTTATTTGTAAAATTTAATTTAGAGTCCATTATTTTAATATAAAAAGTTTTTATGGTATTTAAAGTATTTATGTATGTGAGAAGGCTATGCGCAGTTGCCTTTTAAAAGTATTTAGTCCATTGGTTGGCTGATTTGGCGGGAAAGAAAAATAATCGGAAAAAGTTTCATAAGTTTTAGCTGATAATTGCTTCAGCGGTACAAAGCGCCAGTTATATTGCTAAGGCCCTATGTGAGAGAGGGGAAATTGTTTACTTCAGAATGGTGTCATACTACATTAATAGTTTATAAATATTATATAAATGTACATATGTATGTATATATTGACGTTTGTGCAAACTTCTATTTGTAATTTGCCGGATATATTCACAATATTTCAGAAGGATTTTATAGCATTATTCTCCATATATTCATACACACATAAGACATCAGCGATAAAATCACATTAGATCGTCCAAGCCTTTACGTCTGTTAGGGCTCCTGAGGGACTTAGGTCTAAACGATGTAAAAGGATAAAAATAAGAGAGCACAATCGACCAACGTTTGCGATGCACATCTTTCCATCTTCACATCTATTTATATTCAGCACCAAAAATAATAAATACATTTTCCATTTACCTACGCTCGTTAAATATAATTTCATAATAATTTTATTTTTTTATTTTGAAATGATGCATTCATTTCTTATGCATACAATTTATTCCAGCTGGGATATTACTGATTATAAAAACGTTTGTTTTTTATTTTGTTTTCTGTGGTCTCCGAAACATCTTTTTTACTGGCATAGACACCGCTTAGACGATTATAACCGAGTTAACAACAGCGCGCCCTTCATTCATTCTTTTCGCTGTTTGACGTCAATCGAAAATATCAAAAAGAGTCAAGTCCTTCTCTGCATGGCCTTTCCAAAAGAGTGGTTTATAAATTGCCTACTCAGTCCAAATGCTGGACATCGAAGTTATCACTGTCAATAGAGACATTTCGTCTTACCCTCGTTCATCTCCGAAACCACCCTTTAGAATATACTGTAAATATGATAGTTAGATTACTCAGTTCCTGACAAGGTTTGTACAAAACAAAATTTTTCGGGAAGTGGACCCATGTATTCGGGAAAATCGTATTTATGACTGGATTTATTTGAAATTTTTTGCATATATTCATGGTTCGGTGTGTTTATTTAAATAGAATACTATTATTTCCTAGAAATGGGACAGTGAACTGGAACCAAGTTCGATTTCTTCGAAATATAAATAATCATTTTTTTTTTGCTTTTTTGTATTATTCTTTACAAAATATTTTTTAATAAAAAATTGGACAAAAGACAGAAAGCCAAATAATAAGTCTAGTAACCGTGCAAGGGCACAACAACACAACACAAGTAAAATATGTATATTCTGTGATAGGAAAGATTTGTTGTGCCTTACATATTTATTTCATACAGGAAAGAATCCTGCGTCTGCTTGTTGTTATTGTTTAAATTTATTAGGGAAAATTAATCATGCAGAAGGACCATTCTTGTTCTCTAGTAAAATTTCATAGGATATGGACTTTCCTTTGAATAGAAAAATGTTCTTTCACTCCGTTAATTCTTTTTAATTCATTATATTAAAACAATTTAAGGCTTGATGAAACACATTACATCAGCCATCTAAACCCGATCGAAGTGACTATGTGCATAAGTAGATTATTCGTGTATATGTTACAGTTTTGAAAACAATTTTCAATCCAAATCGAGTTGTCACTCAAAATGTAATTTTCATGTATGTATTACAATGCATATATATTTTAAATGGAGCAAATACAACAATTACCGTAAATGATACAATAATTGCGTACAAGTGACAGCTCGTTTCGTCGGCTTTCTTAGTTCAAGGTTGTATTTTTGAAAATTATTTAATCTTCATATAAAATATAAAATTTTGACAAAAATTTGACAATTGATATATATATATATATATATATATATATATATATTTATATATATATATATTTATATAATTTATATATAATCGCTTCAGCGTATACAAAGCGTTAAATATAATTATAATTATAATTATTATATATATTTATATAATTAACGCTTTGTATACGCTGAAGCGATTTTTTCGGCCGAGCTCTTGCTCCAATTTGTGGTTATGAGTCTTGATATTTTTCCAACAAATGGAGAGACCTACCAGTTATACTAACCTGCCTCCGAACGGCTGATGTCTGTTTACAAGGAGCTTTTATTTCATGTCAGAAATACACTCGGAGGGGTTGAAATTCCCTGCCGAGGGGCAACCGCATCTAGAGAATTTAGCTTAATTTTCTATAACTTTTGAACCCGGACCTTCCGAATGACAGTACGCAATGCTAACTACTTGACTATCGCGGCCGCAGATGGGAAAATTATTAAAATCATCTTTATGTATGTATTTTTTAAAGTGACTCTGAAATTCAATACGCGCGGGTGATTCGATATGGTATTCAAGTTGGTAGTACTGTCATTGACATTTGTGACAAATTTCACATAATTACATTCAACTGACACACAATTACGCTGATGTTTCAGATCAAAAACAGGTTTTCGGCGATTTATGAAGTGTCTGAAATTATTCAACGAATGAATAGTGAAACGAAACGTCAAAATACTTTGCAAAAACTTGCCCTCCGACATCGACCTTAGCTATGCGCAGTTTGCTTTTGTTTGCGCACCAATAACTTTGTCGATGCATTTTAGAACATGATACATCGTCAAAGTTTGCACAGTTGCCTTTAGGAATGTGTAACAATGTATGCCATTTTGAAACTCACCCATCATTTCTGTTTGCCTAAAGAATGCAGAAACGTTGCTTTCGGTAACCATACTCTGTCGAAAAAATGTAACTGACATAAGCAGTTCAAAGAAGGCAAAAAGAATAAGGAGAGCAACGTGAATGAGCTTGCTGTATAGTTAGCATTTTAAATGGATCAGTCAAAATCAATTTAAAGATGTTTCGTGCCTGGAAAAACGTTTGGTTTCCAAAACGCTGAATTTTTGGAAAAACGGCGTCCCACACTGCATTAATTTTTTGTGGGTTTTTCAAAAAAAAATAAAAGTTGAACTCATTTTGATCCACAACTTTCGCATTCGCCTGATCCAGAGAACGAGAGAGAGTTTTGAGTCGATTGAGGAGATTAAACGGCAACCTCTTAGAGAATTAAAGGCCTTTGAGTTTGATGAATATAACAAATGTTTCGAGCATTGCATTGGGATGGGATTACTTTAAAGGCGGTGCAATAGAAATACATCTTAGTAAGCTTACACAGTTATACACATATTGCTTATGTGGTCATTACACCTAAACAAATAAATATCATTAATATTTTAAGAACATAATAAGAGAAATATATGAAATAAAACCAAACTTTTCCTTTACTCTTCCTGAATTTAAAAAGTTTCTTCAATACCATGTAACCATCGCAGCCCGAAAATTGTAGGAGGTTCTGAAGCCAGAAGAAGCGAATTACCATTTATGGTAAGTCTTATGCGACGTGGTGGACATTATTGCGGTGCCAGTATATTAAACGAACAATGGCTCGTGACTGCAGGCCATTGTGTTTGCAGTGGATTGAATAAGATTTTTCAAGCATCTCAAATACAAGGTGTTATAGGTCTTCACAGTATTTCACAGTATCTTAACGGTAACTCCTCTGAAAAGCCAATACGTATTAATTTCAAACGCATTATACCTCATCCAAAATATGAATGCACCAACGTAAAAAATGACATTGGTATGGTAAAATTAAAATAATATTAATAATTGATTCGATACAATTAATGCCTCTGATTTAATTAGCCCTCCTTGAGTTGGAAGAGCCTTTGTCATTTACGGAGGGAGTGAAGCCGATTTGTGTAAGTGTTGAAAAACCTCTTATAGAGTACGAAAATCAATTAGCAATTGTATCTGGTTGGGGATGGACAAATGAGAACCAAGAAGAAGGACACAAGGCAGATATATTGAAGAAGGTGGCGGTAAAAATCTGGAACAATAATAGCTGTGAAAAGTCTTACAAAATCAACGGGAAACCTAATAGTTTAATATCGGATACTCAATTATGTGCAGGGTTCAAAAGTGGAGGAGCAGATTCTTGTTGGGTAAATAGTTCATGCCACAAAATATTGTTTATACATACATACAGGAGCGGATCCAGAAACGATTCTTAGAGGGGTCATAATTTTATAACTGCATTTCTCCTAGGATTTATAGTTTTTCTTCAAAAATCTCTTACCCCGACTGGCTCCGCTCCTGGTAAACAAGTATATATAAATGTTCTTCAAAAACAAATATTAACACTTTAGGCTGATTCTGGTGGTCCACTCATTATGAAAGATCAAATATTAGTGGGTATTGTCTCAACGGGAATAGGTTGTGCCAGGCCAGGACTTCCAGGAATATACACCCGAGTCAGCAAATATGTTAACTGGATTGAATCAGTTTTAAGATAATTTAAACTTAAACTTTAAAAACACTGTGATAAAAGTATATGTATAAGTAGTTTATAAATACAGACATATAAGTTTTAAAATTGATGTTGAATTTATAGTACCTGAAGTAAAAAAAGCATAGATAAATCAAAGTAAACAAAACAATTGAAAAACACGTTAAATATAATATTAATTATTTTTCTTCTTTATTGGCGTTTGCATCGCTTACACGATTATAGCCGAATTAATAATAGCACGCCATTCAAAGCTGGAGTGCTTTCATCCACTCAGACGACATAACTTATTCAGCGAACTAAGTCAATATTATCGTATAACTCGTACAGCTCATCGTTCCATCGTCTGCGATATTCGCGGTTGTCAACGCGCAAAGGACCATAAATCGTTCGCAAAGTTTTTCTCTCGAAGACTCCCAAATCTCTTATCAGATGTCGACATCGACCGCGCTTCTGCGCCATATAGTGGAAGAGGTATGATGAGCGGCATGTAGAGTTTGGCTTTCGTTCGTCGAGAAAGAGCTTTACTTTTTAATTGCATATTCAGTACAAAGTAGCACCTGTTGGCAAGTAATTCTGCGTTGGATTTCAAGGCTGACATTATTATGAGTGTTGATAGATTATACATTTATATATCAAAGTCGATGACAGATATACCTTTTTTGAAATATTAACTTTTTTCTCTTTGATTACTTCTAATAATTGATCTAAGTCTAACAGTCGTATGATGCAACGTAAAATTTTCTAGCTTCCATCGCTAATGCAAAGCTAAAAGTTGTCCCACACCCATCTTTTCGCTGACCATTCACAGCCATGGAAAAATAGTGCTCTAATTGGATGAGAAATTCTGCATCACCCATTTTGCATTAGAATCTGAGGGCATTGGTTTATCAAGCGTGGTTTGTTAAAGAAGACAACAATAATTCCACGTGAATAACATTTGAAAAAAAAAAAAAACAGAAAAACATTCATAATTTCAATATTCAAAATACAAGGTGCTCAAAATTCGACGATTTTTGCTATGTTTGTGGTCATATAGCGCCGAAAACAGAAAATCTGGAATAATACTAAATACCATACCGTCTTTACTTCAATGAGCCAGATTTAACTAATAAAGAAATAAAGCCTCTCTGCGCTATGTGAAGCCAATAATGTGGTTGGAAGACCGACAAGAGCATGATGGAACGATATGTTACGAATGATTCAACTCTGCTGCTGGGTTGAACAAAGGCAAGTTAAAAAAAAAATATGAAACTACTGTTACTACCATACCTCCGACACCGGAAAATCCAAATGGTAAGTATTTAATTACCAATCAAATCCATATACATACACGGTGTGTCCCAAAAATATCCGAACTTTTTGGATATAAAATAAAATACACATTATATTATCTTTGAAAGTTATTATTTATTCAAAATAGGTTCCATTTGACTCATCACAACGTTTGGAGCGATCAACCAGCGCATGCATAGATTTTTTTATGTCATTTATAGAAATGTTCTTCAGTACCTCGGTTACGGCTTGAATGGCTGGGATATCATCATAAAATGCTCCCTTCATCTTGGTTTTCATTTTTGGAAATAAAAAATAGTCACATGGTGATAGATCAGGCTAATACGGAGGATGGTCGATGAGAGAAATCCCTTTTTTCATTAAAAATTCGAGAATTGGAGGAGGAGCTCGGCCTAAAATCGCTTCAACAGTTGGTGTTGATGCTGGTTCCAAGATGGACGAAATAATCTACGACTTCAAAGTTATGACTGTCAACAGTGACGTGGGAGTCAAGTCGCGAATACGATACCTGTTTGTTTGACGACACTACCATTCCTTATTTATGTAATCCATGCAATTCGTGCACCGTCTTATGGTTATGTTTCCGGATGAGTTGCACTAAGCGGTAACTAATTGGTTGAAATCAGGTACTTCGTTCTGCTCCTATTAACATCGGGATTCAGCAGTAGAACACCAAGGGCTTTATGTATATTTTCGGTACAGAACCTATGTTTCTCAATATTTTTTGAACCCCCCAGGTTAATACCACATATCCAAATTCTTGTATTCTAGTTTTAACCCGGAATTCTTATGTAAAAGCTAATTTAAGCTAGCTAATTATAATTTCATACGTAAAACTTTGGCTTGAATGTGTCTTTACAAGTGAGCCTTGTATCTAATGTATGTCGAGATATATATATATATATAATTGAAATGCAGGACACGTTTCTGAGCGTAATGTAAATGTAACGTGTTTACACCTTTGCCATTGTTCGATGCGAAATAAATGGTTCCTAAGCGTTTTCGATTTTTTTTATAGGACATATATTGCGGTATACGAGGTTTGCTGATTAAGTAATGAGACTGATTCCAGAAAAGCCGTATATTTCAAAATTATTCTACAACTCTGCCATCCCCTTCGAAGTGGTCCCCTTGGGCAGCTATACAACTATTCCAGCGTGTTTTCCATGCTTCGTAACACTTCTGGAACGCTAAGACTGGGATGTCCGCGAGTACCCTCGTCACGGCCGCCTGGATGCCCTCAACCGACTCAAAAGGGGTTCCTTTGACCACCGATTTTGTTCTAGGGAACAAAAAATGTCACAGGGTGACATATCGGACGAATAAGGCGGTTGTTGCTATACGGCGATCCCTTTAGAGGCCAAATACTGGGGCACGCTGAGAACGGCGTTTTCATGATGAAGAACCCAGTTACGAGCAATGTCTGGGCGCACCTTGTTGACTCGTTTTCGCAATCTTTCGAGTACTTGGCGATAGTATAGTTGATTTACGATTCAGATGGGCTCCACCAGACAAGATGTGGTCGAAAAAGTAAAAATGCGGAAGAATGCTCCGTAATTTCCGCCTTGCTAATAGGGAGAAAAGCGAGCAACATGATTATTGTGAATACGATATGCACTCCTATATTCGATTTGACTTGCTCACAAAAGAAATGAGATCATTGTCTGAGCTAGCTTGGAGACAGCGCTAAGGTTGTAGGAGAGTTAACGGGAGAAGTCATAATCATAAAAGTATGACAGTGATACATAAGTTCCTAACGGCTGAAATTACTAACGAAGTCATAGTTAGTATGGACTTACTCCTTGATCAAAGAATGAAATTTGAACTAAAGAAAAAATGTATGGAATGCGCACTATAAAAGCGCGGCTAAGTTTTAGTCAAGATGTTTCGTAATGCAGGAAGACAGTAATCCTGGTCAAGAACGAGTTTCAGAAAGAAAATAACGGAAATAGCACAAGGACGTCGGGAATCCTGAATGGGAAAGCTGATAGATGTACGTGAACTTCTTAGACAGTATACCTAAATACAGGAAGGTGCTGTGGCGTTGCTCTCTAATACTAAACGAAAGAAATAACGGAATGCTCCGTTAAAAGTTAATGTTATCATTATTCCACGCTCACAGAACTTCTGGCCTTTATCTGTAAATAACTGAAGCTATTGCATTTTTATAGTCTCGTCATTTTCGAAAGTATTACCATTTAATGAGTTCTGCAAAGATGGAAACAAATGGTAGTATGACGGTGCAAGGTCAAGTCTAAAATGGAGGATGCATCAACAGTTACCAGCCAAGCTCCCTTCATTTTTGGCGAGTGACCAAAGATGTGTGCAGTCTAGCATTGTCCTGGAGGAATATGACAAATCCACGATTGATCAATTCTGGGCGTTTCTTGTTGATGAATGTATTCAATTTGTCCAGTTGTTCACAATAGACATCCGAATTAATCGTTTGTTTCCTTGAAGGCATGTCCAAATATATCATATCCTTCCAATCCCACCAAGCTGACAGCATGGTGGAAAATCTCACAAACTGAGTTTGTCAAACCAATTTCCCCACTGTACTTCTTTTAAAGCCTTATCACCATAAAAATTATACAACTTTTTAACAACCTGCTGCCCTTAAGGAAATAACAAAGTAAATTATGATGAAAATGTTCCTTTGTGGGCTCCATATTAAAATTGACGACAAAAAAAACAAATATAGACAAAATTACGAGTACTTTTATTTCTAAAGCAAGCTAAAAGTGACAGCTTATAACTTTCAAAAACCACGATAGCCGAGTTGCTAGCACTGCGTACTGCCATTTGGAAGCCAGTGTTTAATTTAAATAAAAAGTTTAAGTTAAATTTTCTAATTGCAGTCGCTCTTCGGCAGCGAAGGTCAATGCAATCGCCGTTTGGCAGAGAATGTCAACCCATACGAGTGTATGAATAACACGAAATAAAAAGTCTCCCTTTTAAAACCATCAGCCGTTCGTAAATAGTAATTTCACCCATTTGTTGAAAAAACATCAACACGCATATCACAAATTTAGCCGAAAATTGCCTCAGCGATCACAAAGCGGTAATTATGTATATATTTAACTGCAGAGTGATTCTGCAATTGAATAAATCATGTAATAATCCATGAAAATCACAAGATAACTTCCATGCAAGTAGGCTTTCGATCATTTGAGACAACATATATCAGGAATGCATGACATATATGCCGTCAGCTCGTAGAACGATTTTCCTATCACTTTCTCAAGACCAAAATGACAAACGTTATGTTTACATTTATATACGTGGACGTCAATCTCTCTTCGTTTCCTTGTGCATATTTGTCATTGTTGTCGGACAAACACAACACAGCAGAGCGTTAGCATTTATACCAAAAGAAAACAATATGGACGTAAAAAAACAGCAGCAGTGCCATAGAAGCCGAACACATATGAGCGACACCATTGATGCCGAAGGAAATCAGCCTTGAAAAAAATTTATCCTACATATTCCAAAATTTTTACATAGATCAGCTACATGGCTTATATGGCATTCAAAAGAAATAACAATACAACAATAAATTCGTTTTCAAAAATCAGTAAAATAATATGAATAAAACCGCATATACAGAAGTCTCAGTCCTTAGCTCCACGGCCGCCTCCGCCATAATCTCTCCGCAGCTCCTTTGAAGTATAAAGACATATAAGTAAAATTATAAAATATTTTCGCAGTTGTACCTCGCAAAGTTTTGTTGAATATTTTTGAAGTGTGCTGCTGCTGTAAGACGAGAAGCGTCCATTCTACTCAACCTTCTCCATTAACAGAATATTCGATACAAAATGAGGCACCCTTAAATAAATACAAATGAAGTATTTAAATAATCGACCTTATATTATATTGTACAAGATTCTTATCCATATTTTTCACTTTCCTACGTTCTTTGCTATCTGCTGCGGAGAAAACTATAAAAAATGGTGTTCGACTCGAAAATTAAACAAAGAAAATCAGATAATCCGTTCAGCTGCATTCTTCTTCAATTTGTATGTACTCAGAAGAGAAATATAAACAAAAAAATGTGCATATGTGTTAGGGCTGCCCGAAATCGTGTGAGTGTATTTGTGAACCCATTAGACCTTTCTTGCAGGGCTGGCTGTGTCAGTTTTCGTTTCAGAAGCATTCTTCGTTAATGCCACTTCTTTAAATAATAACCTTGTTTTAGGCACATTATTTAGAATATTTTTCTGATGCATATTCCTTTCAATTATCAAATCTAATTTTGCTGAAACCTCACGTGTGAATATTTCGCAATATCTTTGATTTGGAAAAGAGTGAAACGGATATTTAATAGTCTCTTTATCAAAATATCAACTTAACAATAGCTTATAGCTTTAGATTTGATTTGTTGTCGTGCTTTACTGATCCCATAGGTAAGAATTCAATTTCTTAGTGTGAACTATATGTAATAAAAATATCGAATTGACAAATACTGAGCAACCGTGCTATTATTGTTTTGCTATGTGTAAATATGTCCAAATCTAATTGGCGCAATTCTCTTTTTATATTGATGAAATTAACATAAACCTATATTGGTAATACACATGTTTTTAAATAAAATTTATCAGAATGGAGACTCCAAAGAGTGGAAGAAGAGTACGAATAACTCGTAATCCAACGCCCCGTCTTTCTGCGCGAAAAAAGAGTCTATTTTTTGATGATGACAATAAACTGGCGGGAAATGATGTGTTGGATGGAATAAAACCACTAGAAACAACAACTGAAATAAAGGAAACCAATTGTGTCACAACAAGGAGTAGACGTAACATTGAATGCCTTCTTGATTCTAAATGTCAACCTGATAACATAGGTTTTGTAAACGATACGCCGATGGGAAAGATTAGGACACCATTACGTAGAAGTCCACGTACAAATGTCCGAAACCAATCACCGGTCTGTCTTTCAAAGATGCCAATTGGTAAGGAAAATACGCCAAATGCAGATGCAGAGGATTATGCCGGAGAACATCTTCAAACATTGTTCAATACCTCAATGAGGATAACCTCGAACAAAAACCAAAATGGCACCATCAATACAACTGATCGATCGGAAACTCTAAAACGATATCATGAGAAAGAAAGCAGCGTTGATTTAAGTCCGGAAAGAAAAACTTTTAAATTTTCGCCTACTGATGAAATTTTAGAAACAATATCCACAAAAAAATTTTATTCTGCATCGAGACCAGCATGCGTTACAGAATTTGGTAGCTGTTTGAAATCACCACCTATTGTTAACAAAATGCACACACGAAACCGTGCTCGTCGTGATCCCAGAAAAAATAACATTAACAAAGGAGTGAAACACAAGATTAGGAGGCCAGCCCGCAACAAGTTTTCTGGAAATAATTATCGTAGTACATTCTCATCCGTAGATGTAGACCTGATATTGAAAAATGTGCGCAATGAAAAACTGAAAAGTCTTATTGTTTCAAAAAGAGAACAGCGTCAAAATATTGAGAAGATACATAACATTTTCCGATCGTGTAAAAATCCCATAGAAATGGCAAGACCTCTGACATCTTTATCTGGGATTGATGATTCTAACAACAACACATATGAATATACATTATCCACGTGTAAAAATGATCTATCTTCTCAAATGACAGACGAAGCAGATACAGATTTCTCTGATATTGATAGTAATTTGGAAGAAATTGACGGGTTATCAAATGTCGAAGAGATTATTCCCTTAATTTCTCATGAGCCATCTGTTATAGAGGCAGCAATTATTGAAAGTGAAATTGACAAACCAACAACAACCACACCAATTAAAAGAAAATTCTTCAAATCTGGTCGGACTAGTCAAACACCTAAAGAAGTTCGTATTACAGATAACATTAAAGCTTCTATTTGTAATGGTAAATTATCCTTGATACAAGAAGAAAAGAAATTGAGAAAGAAACCAAAAAGAAGGCCATCAAGTAAGTTTATTGCTAATGAACTATATACATATGTATGCAAGTATTTTTTATGGTACATTTCAAAATAAAATATAATTTCAGCAACTTATGATATCTCAGATGAACAGGCAACTGTTGAAGCGATTTTGAAAAATTTGGACGATACATCCTATGGAGATATAGATGAAAATTTTGAAAGTCATGTCATCAATCAATCTGTTTCTAAAGAAAGCAGTAAACAAACTCAGCCTGTAGAAGCTAACCAAATACATATAAACAACGAATATGCACATTTCCGTAACCGTCTGCCATATAATACAAATGATACGGCAGTTATAGAGCAACAGCATTTATTGCTCGACTTTCTTATTAATAATAATATGTGTACAGAAGAAAACTTCACCATATTCATAGCAGATCCAGATAATCACAAAGACGAGGCTGCGCGCATTGTAGATCAAGTCTTTGTTTTAGTAAATGAGCAAGATTACTTTCGGCAACGTATCCCGGTTAACACAACTGACCCAGAAATAGAAGCACAGCAAAGACGAATGTTAGAGTTTCTAATTGAGAACAACATATGTACGGAAGATAATTTTGATATTTTTATAGCAAACTATAACCAAAGGTACAAAGAAGCAGATGAGATTCTAAAAACTATAAGGAACCAAGAAAAGGAAAATGTATCCTCAAATGATTTACAAGAAAATGAATTGAATGGCTCCGATGTAAAAGATGTTGTTGAAGAAACCATTGATCCAACTCCTCAATATATTGAGGAAAATGCATTTCCTTTACTTCCGCTTAATGATAAAAGTGAAGATAAATTCTTTCCAATTTTTAATACAGCCAAATGGAAACCTTTAGAACAGAAATCCAATCGAAATATCCCAAGAACTTGGAATTTCGGTCTGGGTAATAACCAATACCAAATTGATGCAGGTCAAAAGAAATTTGGTGCTTACCAATGTAAACAGTGCGGGCTTGTTTATAGCATACATGAACCGGAGGAAGAGTTATTACATCGGGATTATCACGCCTCCTTACATTTACTACGTTTCAAGGGTTGGATTGATGAAGATCTTGTTGCTATTTTCCCAGAATGGGGTGCAGATGGACGAATATTGCGCATAACAGAATCGTCACATAATCGACGACATGAACGCTTAGCCGATATTTTAAAGATTGTTGACAAGGAGCTAGGATTCTCATCATATGTCATTCCACCAACTTTTGTTGTATGTTTGATTTACTAGAATTTTAACAAAAGACGACAATCAGGCTTAACTAATTTTACTTTATATTCGTATAGGCTTATCTCGCAGTGCGTAAATATCAAATTGTTGGCCTTTGTTTAGTTGTGCCACTAGAAAAAGCAAAGAAGTACATAAGAGTAGATGGCGTTGACTGTTGCACTCTGGAAGAGTACCCAGCGAAGTAAGAAAATATAAGAAACACCCTGCCGTTAGAAAAACGTAATTATTATAATTATCCATTTTCAGATGCGGCATATCTCGTATTTGGGTTTCCCCTCTACATAGACGTTTGCACATAGCAACAAAACTTATAAACGCCGTGCAACAAAATACAATTTTCGGCGAGGAAATTACTTTGGACATGATAGCATTCAGTGCGCCTACCGAAAACGGACGAATGTTTGCACAGAAAGTGACAAATTTAGAGAATTTCTTGGTTTACGAGTGAAAACCCGTTATAGTATATATTATTAAAAGTAATGCTGTAGTTGTATAATAAAATTGTGCAGCGCTTATTTTTTACAATGCATAGCAATATTTTGTTAATATGTTTGAAAATGAAGTTTTCTTGTATAAAAATATTTCGGTTTGAATTTCACGAAATTCTTTATAATAAATAATTACATACATAGATACTATATATTTTTATTTTTCATAAATGCTGCATAAATCATTGGTTGACGTTTAAAATGTTAGGAGGGAAAGATGGGTACGATTTTCAGAACAAAAAATATAATCTGCCTCTTACATCGCTCTCCATTAAACGTGTGCTGTGCCGCTACAACAACAAGTGTGTGCTGTAAACGATGTTTAAAAACTATGATGGACTACACACCTAACTCCACGGACAGTAAAGCTCTGGCCGTCGCTTTGGAAGAGGTGCAGAAAAGTGTAATTGGTATACCTATAATGATAGGTAGAAATGAAATTGTTGGTCGAGATGGGCAATATCAACTTCACCCACACAATCATAAACGTGCTCTAGTTAAGTTTTTCTATGCCAACACTCAACAAGTCAAATATGGAATAGAAACAGCTTTAGGTAGCAAGGAAGACTGGCAAAATACCAAACTGAAGGAACGGGCGGAAATCTGGAGAAAATGTGCAGACATCATTGCAGAGGAAGACCGTCACAAGTTAAATGCAGCTATAATGGTAGGACAAGCAAAGACGGCCTTGGAAGCAGAGAAAGATACTTTCCAATTAATAACTCTTTTGCGTAAAAGTGCAGAGTATATTATGCGTCTAGCGGATATACACCTTACCAATTATCAACCGGACTGTATTAAAACAACATATTTTCAACGACCACTAAATGGGTTTGTTGCTGCTATATCTCCATTTAATCATAACAACTTTTCTGCTCACCTCGCCTTAAGTCCTGCACTCATGGGCAACTGTGTGCTGTGGAAACCGTCCAATTATAGTCTGTATTCTGATTACTTGATTTGGAGTGCTACGAAAAAAGCCGGTCTGCCTCCAGGGGTTCTTAACTTCATACCTTGCAACGGTAATTTGTTTGTGGACGTCATTACAAAATCACCTTACTTTGGCGGCTTGAATTTCTCTGGCAGGACGTCTAGTTTTCAAGACATATTTAATGTTGCTTATCTGCGGGTTAATAATTTCAAAAGTTATCCACGGGTAGTGGCGGAGTGTAGCACAAAAAATTTTCATTTTGTCCATGAAAGTGCGGATGTGAATGTTACTGCAAGTGCCACTGCACAAGCTGCATTCGAATATTCAGGTCAAAAATCTGCCTCTTGCTCGGGCATTTACGTTCCTGAAACTCTATGGGGTCCATTAAAAGAAGCACTATTAGATCAGTTAGTTTGCATCAAGGTTGGAGACCCATGCGATCCCACAACGATAATATCGGCTGTAATAAGCGAAATATCTTATGAACGTATAATAAAGTTTATTAAAAATGCCAGCAATAATTCGAAATGTCAAATAATTTATGGTGGCGATTTTTGCAAAACACATGGATACTTCATTGAACCAACTGTTGTTGTATGCAGTGATCCTTTAGATCCACTCATGATCAAAGACATCTGTGGGCCAATACTAAGCGTTTATGTGTATAAAAACAATGAATTAGACAACATTATAAGCTTGTTAAGAAAAGAATCCAGATACGCATATACAGCGTCGGTATTCGGCGATTCGAAAACTACTTATCAACTAATTGAGAGATTGAGCTCAGTCTCAAATAACTTTTACATCAATCAAGGTTGCACCGGCAATATTATGGGACATCCTAAATTTAGTGGTACCCGTCTATCGGGAACTAACGATCACAAAAGCTCCAAATTTTATTTTATGCGATGGGCATGTCAGCAGCTAATTGAAGAGCCAATAGATAACGAATCTACGACAGATAAAACCCAATAGATAAAGCAAGCAGTAATCACGAATACCTTCACCCGCACAAAAAAACTCCATAAAGAATCTTTGAATGGAATTTCTGAAAAATGGCGTCACATTTAATATAGTTGTATTTTGTTCTTGCTTGGGGTGAAATTTATGAAAGAAATACAAAGCTATTGTAATTTTGACTTGAAACACAAAGTGGCTTTCTATAGTGATTTGTGAGCGCAACAGATACAACTAAAAATTATCTAAGTTTGTCATGTTAATATGGCTGCAATACTTTTTCTTGCTAGAAGATAGGCATGTAACATAGGTGGAGCACAAATATGATTTGATGTGATGCTGATGCGGTTTTTTTCTGAGGATTTCTTAGCATAAGTTTAGACATTAATCATTATCATTATCACAAAATGACTCAACACTATAAATTCAATTTTAACAACACGATTAAAACTTCTCATCTGTTAGCCGTGGAGTTAAGCACTAAAACAAAAACAAAGCAAAACATATTAGTTTCAATGTCTTTATTTTTATATATTGAAATCCAATAATTTATAAATAGAATATGTTTTTTTTTCTGAATTAGAAAGGTTTAAGCAATGCTTTTGACATTGCTTACGTTATGATTAATGTCATTGCAAATTAAAAAAGAATGACACAAAATAATGCATTTTGAATCATTGAGCTGTATAAACTTGAATATACAATTTATGAAATTTTAAACATCATTTTAGGTAGAATGAAATATACCTAAATGTAAAAATAATTGCCTTAATGCACATGAACTAAATTATCAACGATAGAAATATGTCTGTATGATTTGTCCTTCGACTGTGAGCTGTTTTAATTAATCCTTAACACAAACTACCGCTCATATAAGTCATGCGGCCGAAATAAAGTTCATCTCAGTACGGTGCATAACGGCGACCTGGCGGCGAGGGTCCTCGCATTCCTCGGGATGAAATCATTCGATCATCAAACGAATCACGACTGAAATCTTCATAGCTGTAAGTTAAGAAATTACTAAGAAATTCTTCTCGTTTCCAAAAAATCACAAATAATAATAATTTACCCATAACGGCTAAGTCCGTTGCTGCTCCGAGGTGGTGGTGACCGACGACTAAACATTGAATCATAACCACGAGACAGGCTGCTGCCTCTTAAACTACCACTTAGCGGTGGAGGCAACGGCATCGGCTCTCGTCGAGACAGTGGTGGAGGGGGGAAATCCCGCATTCGTGAACTCTGATAACGCCTCTCGAACAGGTCACGGGTATCTTCAAATCTACGATCATAGTAATCATAATCCTGGAAAAGATTTTAAATGTTCAAATTTCAGAACTGGCGAATATAAGCAATTGTGAACACAATAAACATACATATTTGGAATTTTTTAAAAATCTTATATGATCTTATTACTATTAAAAAAAAAAATACCGTGATCTAACCTAGAACTAGTTAATGTTAGTGAGCATAATGGTATAAAAATGGAACAAGATCCTAACTCTCTTCATTACTTATTAAAATACCTTTACGCGATGTTTATTTACTCTGAAATTAAGAATTATTCAAACAACCGCACCCCAAGGTATAAATTTTATCAAGATATCTAAATTTTTGCTCAAATGATCTAGTCCTAAGTGGACAGATATTATGGCGTTACTATCTACAAGCACAGTAATAAGTTTAATTTTAAAATTTTGAATATACTATAATGTCCTGCAATTTATTTGATATAAAAAAGGATGAGGTTTTGATTCTTGGCACTTTAAACATCCAAAACTATATAAATATCAATTTGAATCAAAAATTTTTATAACTACGGTTTCACCCGGCATCATAAAAGCTCGTCATAAAAACCATCAGCCGTTCGAAGGCGGCTTAGAATAAACTGTGGGTCTCCACATTCGTTGAAAACACATCAAGACTCACTCCACCATTTGGAAAAGGTTACAAAACGCCAATTACTTATATGTTTCTAAAATCATAAGTTCATTTCAACTAAATCATAAGTCATTTGTGGAAATAATAAAGAGAATAATCGAATTATAAATTTTGAATGACTGCTTGGAATTTTTTTAAGAAGTGTATTAAGGTAATATTGTAACATTGAACGTGAAGAATATTTTCACAAGCAATGACCCAAAAACATTATGAATGCGATAGGCTTTTCTTAAGAAAGTAGAATAAACCTCCACCGTAGTATTTTTGTTTTAAACAATACGTATCTGAAAATGTACTTAATATGAACGTAATAAATATAATATAAAATCTGAAAAAATCTTTCAATAATATATTTTTAATAACATAGAATTTACCCTAAAGCCATCCATAATCCTGTCACGTAAGAATGGTGGTGGTGGTGGTGGTGGAGGATACGGATCACGACCATACATTCGGTCTCTATAGCCGCCGGCACTTAAACCGCGTTCACCGCCGTATAAGCGTGGACATTCTTTAGACCAATGTCCTGAACGACCGCAACGATAACACTGCTCCGGATCGCCCATGCCAGGTTTAGGACGTACACGGCTAGTTGATACTTGCACTTTTAACGGCTGACCGTCAACGACGCGACCATTCAATTCCTTGATGACATCTTGTACGTCACCGATGCAATCCAAATGAACGAATCCGTAGTTACGCACGATGTCACACTCGACGACGGTTCCAAACTTTTGAAATAATTCGCGCACTTCGGGTGCTCGCGTTTTATCCGTTAAATTTCCAACGAAGATTTTCGTTGTTGGCGTATTAGGAGCGCGACGGCTTTTTGCCGCTTCCACTTTTATAGCATTGTCATTCAACACGTAACCGTTCAAATTTTGGATAGCGTCGCGACCTTGTTGCTCTGTTTCCATATGAACGAAGCCATAATTTTTCACTACATCGCATTCCACAACTGTACCGTATTTTTCGAATAGTGGTCGCAGTTCCGTTGCCTGCGTCTTCTCATCAAGATTTCCAATGAAGAGCTTGAAAGTGCCTGCTCCTGGCATTTTAGTGGAAATCCGAATACTTTTAAAAGTTAATTACTTGTAGTACGATTCCTCTTCTAGAGGACGAATAACGGAATTATGATGTAAATATCCCTAAATTGGTCGGTCCGGACGCGACGGAACGATCAGCTTTCCGAATAACAGCACCCAAGATAGTTGACGAACCGTATTCGGCTTTGTATTTTCCCCGAGGTTCTACATTATTAAATTAAACAGGTTTTATATCATTTATAATAACCGATATTATAAGAGTGATAGACATCTTTATGTATGCGGAATATGAAACTAACCGCTGAAATGGCGTTAAGAAAAGTATCGAAACGTGAAACACGAGACGTCACAAACATTATTTTTTACATCTAAGACGCGTAAATTTAAGCAAAACCTATATAAAAACTTAATATCGCCTTTAATTTTTATAGCCCGGTTTAATTGTTCTCCGCTAGAGGCACGTTCGTATTATTAAAAATGGCGGCTTCTCAAATTCTAATATACATACATTTGCACAAGAAAATTTCAGAAGGGAATGTCGACTTACCTCAATTATAAATATTCTCTGAATATTAAGTATTACTTGAAAAATTAATTTCTTGTACTTTTCCCTAAATACACGAATAATATTGAACTGCACAAATTTCTCAGATATTGAACAATTTTCAATACGATGACGCTGATGCAGTCGTTCATAAGAATAGGAATTGTACAACGTAGTCGATAATCGATCAACATCTAAACTATAAGGGTACGTCTACACAATAAAAATTGCTAAAATATTTAATAGCCGATTTCTACCGGACGTTAAAAGCATTGCAAACATCAAATGTAAAAAAAATCAGCTATTTGAGTTATCTCATTTTCGGTGGAAACGTTTAACATTAAATTCACTTAACAGAGGTCTTAAATGCATTTAAGTACTTGGTGGAAATAGGCTATAAGGAGATGAAGATTCAACCCATCAAGAACAATATAAGATACTCTAACACATACACAACATTTTTGAATATTACGTGTAGATGTATTTTCATATTCAAAAGGATATTGGAAGAACAAAGGAGATAAACTCTATTTTTGTAAAATAAATCATTCCTTTATTGTTTACGTGTACGTGAGTACGTGTATGTATATGATATTTTAACGAGATATGTTTTGCCGTATGTATAAGTTCATTGTTAATGTGATTCTTGGAACAATAGTTTAGTTTAGTTGTAACTGAATAAATTTGCAACACTGTGTTCCATTCCCGGATTGCTATTTGTTGATCCGTCAATCGAATTGCCATAAAAATTCGGGCGACGGCTTGTGATCGATCATTTGCTTTTATATCGTTGCAAAAATGCGAAGCGAATGTCAGATGAAAGAGAGAAGCCGATAACTAGTACATTCTAGAATGATAAAACGAGAACCATCGATAGCGAACATCTCGATTATTCTACACTTTCGTCTACGAGCAGCCAACTACTATATAAGGGCGATACTCAGCTGCCAAGTTAAGGTAGTTACAAGTGAACTCGTTTGCGCCAACATCAGTATAGAGTCGTAAAGTAAAGAAAATTGTGAAAGTTTTATACCGTTGATTGTAACTAGTAAAGTGTATTGTAATTGCATTGTGAATCACTGAGTCAATAAGGGACATTAGATAAATTCTTTATAACGAAAGAAACTGCAAATTCAGTTGGCGATTTTTATTTAACAATCCAGAGATCGTAAAATCGTAACAATTGGTGTCAGAAGTGGGATTGTTAAATGAATCCCAAAGGAAAATATTTGCAAAATGGTAAAGATACAGGATTTGACGATACCTCCTCTCAAGAGGGAGTTGGCAAAGCGAGGATTGTCGACAACTGGAAATAAGGCAGAACTGCAATCGAGACTGCGAGAAGCAATGGAAGTTGAACGCATCGACTTGAACCAGTACAAGTTACATCGCGAGGATGAAGATGTATCCTTGAAGGACATTGACAAGGAAGAGGCTGATGGTTCTGTGGAGCAGTTGGAATCACCATCAAGTAAGATTCAAAAAGAGGCTCCTGGCTGATCTAAGAATATTGACATGAACATGTTATTGACTGCGATTTCACAAAAGTTGGATGCGCAGGACACAAAAATGAACGCCAGCATCGCACAAAATGTGTCTGAAATGAAAGCCAGCATCTCACAAAAGGCGGATGCACAGAATGCCAACATTGCATCACATATGGCGCAAATACGCAAAGATCTGTTGAGGAACAATGCGGAACTTAAGGAAAGGCAAGATCTAATTGAGACCAAAGTCAACACATTGGAAAGTCGTTTCCGGGAATTATAGATAAATCGTCCAACCGCTTCAGTGAATGCTCCGAAGGTAAAAACACCATCTTTTGACGGGAAAATCCCATTTCAAGTCTTTAAGCACCAATTTGAGAAGACCGCTGCAAGCCCTGGAAAGACGCTATGTGTTCGCTAAACAGAAAACAGATTTAACAGATGGAGTTAGAAAAGCGCGACCAAAAACCCAACGAATCTCTGCAGGAATATGCTTGCCAAGTTGAGAGATTGGCCCATTTAGCCATTGGAAACACATCGGGTGAGCATCTTGAACGGGTGAAAATACAAAGGTTCATCAGCGGAATAAAAGACGTGTACACCAAGCGAGAGACATACGCGAATCCAAAGTTGACATTCGCTAAAACTGTTGCGTATGCACAAACACGTGAAACGGCGGCAATCATAAGCAGACCATCCTACAAAGTAGAGGTTGAAACACCAGATGTGATGACGGAAATATTGAGAACTCTAAAATCGCTAGAAGAAATGAATCGTTCTGGATTCAAAACTCAAGCGGGAAAGTGCTTTAAATGTGGAAAGCCTGGTCACTACGCACGCGAATGCAAAACCAGTTCCAACGGTTAGGAGGTACAGCGAAAACGGAAGGTAGAGGAAGATGAACCATCAACTTCTCAATCGTTAAACTAAAACGAGCTAAAGGCGTGTAAGCTGGCTCCTGCAATTGAATGCCCCATAATCTCCGTATCGCAAATTGGCAGAAAACCGAGCAACATTACTATTGGTGGATATGTCGATGGACGAGAGCGAATACTAACAGTGGATACAGGCGCATCACACTCCATTATTCGAACTGATTTGATCGCTAAGGAAGTGAGACCATCACCTGGAGCAATATTGAAAACGGCAACTGGTGACGATAGCCAAGTGATGGGGGAAGTAACGTGTGAGGTCACAGTAGGTAATGTGACGGTGCTACACA